AGTAACAAAAACAACAACATTAAAATTTAGCTTTGAAGTCGCTTTCAAATTTTTATACACTGGAAATAATTTGGAGTATATATATCTGCATCATCTCTATTACATTCTTCTTTTACCATTTTCCGGAATATTGTTTGATTAAAGCAAATACTTGTGATAAGTAACTATATTACCTAAAGTTTGATAAACAAATATTTTTAATACCTTTTAAGTATTATATTAAATAAATAAATACAATATTGATTAATAAAATAAAAAAATATATGTACTATATAAAAAAAGCTCCCAACTAACCTAATTACCTAATTTATCTACTGAGGCTTAAAGGATATAATGCATACATAATAACCGAAAGTTCCCACTATAATTTATTTCCTATAAAGTATTATATTTTCTCTCAGTGCTACTTGTTGCTGGTGTAGATGTTGCTGCTGTTGATGAGGCGTGCTCCGTTGTTTACCCCACTTGAAAGCGACTGAAGATCAATGGATTGTATGACCAAGACCAAGACCAAGACCAAAGTTGCTGGTGTTGGTCTACCACTTTCGTTGTTACTGTTGTTGATTTTTTAGCCTTTTTTTATTTATGTTTTTGTTGTTGTTGCTGTTGTTTTATGTTTTGAGCCGCCGCTAGAGCTTTGAGCGATTTTTCATTGGAATAGAAAGTGAATTGAATTTGTTTTCGCTGACGCTCTGTGTTCGGCCGTTTCATTGCTCTTCATTGGGGTGCCACTGTTGTTGTTTACACTGAAAACAACGGCTGGCAGACAGGCAGATGCTCATGGAGACAATCTTCTGGAAATTGGACCATGTCATTGACCTTTCCATTTTCGAGTTGCCCCAAAAAAAAAATAGCAGTGAGAGTGCTGTTTGGTTGTTTATCTTTTCGGATTTCAGTTGTTGTTTTGCTTCAAGGGAAAAGCATCAGTGAAAGAGAAGCTTTTTACGTTGATGATTTTTGTGTCGACTTTACTTGAATGCAATTACAGCTTGTTGGTGAAGTAAGGAAAAAATGGGGAAATGCAGGGAAATTTTCTAGAAAAAATTATACAGTTGTAGTGGAAATTTATGAAATAATTTAGATATTTGAAAACAGGGATAATATCATACTGGATAGGAATTGCATTCAATTAATTGAATTCTTATTATTACAACAATTTGTAAATATTGTAGGGACTTTTGAAATCATCTCAAAAATTTTGAATTTCTAAATTTCTAATATGCTTGCATTTCTAATTGTATTTGATTATAATCCATCTACATTCTGGCATAACTCTCAAAATTATCTCCATTATTAGTCATATACAAATATGACTCATATCTGTTAAGCTTACAATTACAATTTCATTATAATAATTATATGAATAATATAATATAAGAGATAACTATAATAAAATGCAATGTAATGTTTTCTACTTTGCACTCTAATAATATATTATAATATATTATTGACCAGACTGATAACTTAATAAAATTCCTGAAATCTCACATTCAAAAAGATTCCATTTTAACTTTATGAAAAATATATATGTATAAATTCTGTGGAAAATTTTGTAATTAATTTGTGCATATATGCATATTTATATTCGAGCTATCTGAAGAGTGGCCTGTGGCCTGTGTCCCAGATTGAATTGACATTCACTGTCGCTTTCTATTTGTGGTGTCTTCTAGCGTTTTCCAAATGCGGAACCATCGGAGCCATCGAGCTGCAGTCAGTCGGCCGACTCGATTTCTTTTACCAAAAATGTGTAAATTAAACGCACAGGGCAGCGGCGACGACGTTGGTGAGTTTATTCACCTTTCGCCTAATTATCAAAATACATAAGCAAAGTGTACCAAAAAGATATACATATGTGATATCAGTAGCAGGGGGACACAAGACGCGTGAAAAAGCTCATGACGAAGACTTCCACTTCAATGAAATCAATTTTACGATAATAATTTTTGAATGTGAAGCCCTGCCGATTCATATATACTATATATATATTGAATCAGAGAAGACCGATCCGATCCGATCGATCGATCCATGTACCGTTGGAAATTTCTTGCTTTTTCTTTTTCTCAGGTGAGTGAGTGTGTGAGAGAGTGGCGAGCGGTACACGGTGTGTGCAGGGTTTTGTTTCGTGTGTATTTTTCTTGCTTTTTTTCGTTGTTATTGTCTTCCACGAATGTAGGTCAAGTTATACTGCGAGTGAGTGTATATGTGTATTTGTGAGTATCTGTGAGTGTGGGACGAAGTTGCGTACCACCAAGAGGAGTAAGGAGGAAATGGGGCGGGGGTGGAGGAGGAGAAGAAGGTCTGCGGGGCCTGTCATCCCGTCGCTCTCCGGAATGACTGACTAAAAGTCAGACGAAGAGCCAAGAGTTTTCTAGTAGCTTCATCCCCGGGCAAAAACTTTCACTTAGAAAGTTCTGCTTGCGGTCTCGGTTTTTCGGTTTGGGATTTTTTTGGCTCTTTTTTTTTTGCTCTTATTTGAATACCCTTATTAGCCGTAATATATATATATAGTATTTGTTCTGAGAATTCACACTTTGCCAGGAAGAAAGTGTTGAGGGAAGCACAAATAAAGATGTCTTTATGTACTTGTAGAAAGATTTTTTTGGGTGTACTTCTTAAGTAGGAGTTTTTTTTATTATTATTAAAATGATTGTATTACGAATACCGATATCAGATTAATAAAAATACACTTGATTAATTTTATATGGTTTGTTTTAATTCGGTACTTAGATTATCGTGATTAGGTACTTAGAAAAACCTTTTTAAAGCTTATACCACAAAAGAAAAAGGTTTCTATTTGTAAATTCAGAACAGTTGAACTTAACATTTTATAGAAGACTTTATACTGAATAGAAATATATAATAATTGTAACCTAGTTTTCCCAATATATTTTAATAATGAACTCATAATTAATAAAGGAATATAAGCCTAGGGGAACATTTTGTCAAATCAACTTTTTTTGGTAAATAATATCAATTTGACATGAATTCTTTGAAAAAGCGATACAATGATATGTGGATAAATATAAACATATCTTAATCAAATGAAAAAAAATTCTTTAAATACAAAAACCTCAAAATATGGTTATTTAAAGAGTTACTCAATCAGTTATGTATTGAATTCTTATTTGCTAATTTGGATTTAAGCAAAATAAGTAACAAAATAAAATTAATTTTAAGGAATATTCCATCGCAAGGGTATCCGCTGACTTTTGTTAAACTTTCTTTCCCCTTTTTGCCCCTCCACTGATTTGTGTGGTTTATTCGGGGCGTTACGAGTTGGCCTGCAAGTCTTTGGCTTGGCTGTGCTCTGTCTGCGGCTAAAATGGCCTTATGAATGAACACGAGCAGCAAAGCCCGCACACACACACACACATCACATCCCCGTTAACTGGGTCAACGTGTGTGTTTTTGTGGGGGCCTGGGAAGATCTGTATGTGCACCTGGATGGCACCTGATTGGAACATATCGGAACTGATTGAAACGGAACTGATTGCTCAATTGCATTTTTTTCAATGAGTTTGTGTGTGGGAAAGCTTTCCGTTAGGCGACGTCATCCGCAGCAACCTTGGCGATCAGCTGTCGCACTGCTGCTGCTGCTGCTGCTGCTGCGAGTGGATTTCCCTGAACTTCATACTGAAAAGCTAATGTGCGCGTATTGTACATATATCTATTAATAGCGCATGCCGCTCGCCTGCTCGCTGTGCTCTTTGTACCGCGCCCTCTCTTTGGAGCCGGAAAAACTGGCTGCGAGAAAAAAGCTTAGCTCTCTGTGCTCTCTTAAGTTTCCCGCACTCTCAGAATACAACAAATGCAGTGCAAGTTCTCAGCTATTGTGCTGCTGCTGTTGTTGTTGTTGTTGTGGTTGTGTGCTATTATTGACCTAATCACTTGTGGAGCACAAACGAACATTGAACTTTTACTTCCGCATGAGAGGAGGAGAGGAGCATTGCAAACGGAATTTGCTCTTTAAAACTAATATTTTTATTTTATACTTCCAATTTTCCAATAGTTTTATTGATAATTTCCAGGCCGGCGGCAGCGGCGACCGCCCAGTGACATTAATTAATGCCCGCAGATTCATCATGTATGCGCCGGCCGTTCGGAAAATCATATTTCACGCTTCCACAGTTTCCCCCCGGCAGCAATTTGTCTGCGCCGGGATCTCCCGAGATCCCCCAGAGATGTCTCTGTGTTTGTGTGTATCTGGAAAATCTTGTAATTTAATGCGACAATTTTGTGCGACGATCGCATCCAACGAGTTGCTTCCACTGGAAGTGACCGTGGAAGTGGCAAGGAAAAATTAACTCAAAAGTCCAACTCCTGGAAGTGGTAAGGAAAAATTCACTCAAAACTCCAATGAATTGCTTCCAATGGAAGCGTCAATGGAAATGGTAAGAAAAGAGTAATGTTTTCAGTTTTAAATATGGTTTTTCTTTAATATTAATATGTATGTGTAATGTGTAATGTGGGGATGGATGTTCGCATATAAATACTCTTAATGCTCTTAGTGTCTAAACAAAAATGTATCGCTCTGCTCGCCATTTTCCCTGGCAAAATGTTCAACAATTGGTCAAAAAAGAGAAAAAATAAATAGGATTTCAAATTGAAACAAAAAAAACGTGAATGTTTTGCTTGGGGGAAATACAAATATGACACTAAACGTAATACTCTTTGCATAAACAAGTACAAGTACATAATATATATATAACATATATGGTGTGTTTTGTGTGCGATACAATAGGATATAGTCATGTATGTAGGGTAATATGCAAGTGAACAGTATTTAATTTAAATAATATGATAATAAATAATTAATATATAATAGGCATATGGTAGCCTGCTCTCTACACACAAAAAAACTACATAAATACAAAAGTTCGCATCGGATGTGTCCCGAGGATCCACAGCTTTCTCCTTCGCCGGCAGCTGGAAGTCTCCTCGCGGCCACGAACGCGCAGCCAGCGCGCTCCCCCAATCATGCCCAGAAGTTGGAGTCTCTGTTTTTTTTTTGTTTTTTTTTGGAGTTAAGGCAATGGGCTTTACGATGGGGCTCCTGGCTCCATTAGTACTGCCCGGTTGGATCCAGGCAATCCCTCTGTCGTCGCTTTTGGCGTGTGCTCTGCGAGTCGCGGGGTCGCCTGTAGGTTCCAGTGGGATCCAGCATTTTGTTTTCTTTTTCTTTTTTGTGTATTTTCCAAAAAGGGGGATTTTCCCAATTATTCAAAGTCTAGATTTGTGACTCTTGGAAATGAATCTCAAGCTGGAGAACGGCTTAGTAGGTGCCAGTGGGATCCAAATCGAGCGACATTCTGAGACGATTTTTGTGATTGTTTTGCTAATGAAGTGATCTCTGATCTCTGATGATCTTCTATTCCTCCTTCAGTACTGACCCGTGGGATCCAGATAGGCGGCCATAGTTTCAATGTTTGATTTTTATTTATATTCTTAAAGATTCTTTTCTTTAGCTCTTTTTAGTACTGGCCAGTGGGATCCAAGTAGGCAGCCATTTCGAAGATTAACAAAATACTTGTATGACAATACACCGGGTTGACGAAGATATTCTCCTCTGCTTTTGTTTCAGTTTGAATCAACTTTATTATTGAACTTTATACTGGTTCTTCAACGCTGTTGTTGTAAGTTCTTTTATTATCACCACCAAGTTGTTGGGTTTTTTTTCTTTTTTTGTTGGTTGAGAGATTATACAGTCACGTTTGGGCTTTTGTTTAATTTTTATTTTTAAAAAGTCACTGACACTTAATGTTCAATCGAGGGATTTTGTGTGTGTTTTTGTACCGCGACGTGGAAATCGTTACGTGAAAATCGTTACTGCGAAAAACCTCAGATCTGTTTACTCGCTTCAACTGACTGCTGTGTGGCTGTCTATATAGCTGGAACGTTGTCGATCTTATGATTTGATTTTCGTAAAGTCGTAAGCTTAAATGCCTGACGCCCGGCCGCAACGCCGGCGCTGGCAGCGCTGTTGGCATCGACCGAGCACCGAGAGCGAGAGCGTGGAAAGAGCACGACAGGCGGCAGGTGCGTTACTCTTTCCATCCAGATCTCACTCTCTTAGCTGGGTGAGAGCGAGTGCGAGAGATTTGTGGTTTTCATTCATGTGGTTACCTGGGCCAGGTAGAGCGGGAGCGAGAGTGCGCTCCGATCGACGCTTGCCTTTCTCTCGCCGTCTCTCTTTCTCTTTGGTACAGAGGTACACCCACCTGGGTTTCATTCACGAAACAGCTGTTCCGCCTCGAACTGCGACACGATCGAGTGCCCTCCTTATGCTCTTGTCCAGGTGTGTGTGAGTGTGTGTGTCTTTTTCCATCTGAGTGTGTGTGAGTGAGCATCGCAGGCACTTCAGGTAAACGCTATCCTTGCTGCTCCGCTATTGGTGCTCCTTCTCCACCTCCTCCATCAGCGAACGAAGATTCCCGTGAAGAAGACTCCACCTTCTTTTTTTACTAATTAAAATCCATAGCTCTTGGCTAAGAGTTTTGGTAGGATTTGATTTAGTCCTGAACCAAGTACACTGAGGAAAGTCTATGGGTATTTCCTAGTGATTTGATTTCCATTAAAATCACGTTAAAATGAAATTAATATGAAATCCTATCTATTATCTTTAAACAAGAATGGAAAACAGCTTCGGAAAGTTAAATTTTCTTTATCCATGCTTATGGGGTGGATCATATCTTATAAATAACACTTGATATGTATGGATTTTTTTATAAAAAATTTTTTTTATTAAATCAAAATTTAAAAAACTCATAACTAAGCCAAAAATTTCAATTAATTAGTATGTTAGTTTTTAAAAGATTCACAAAACTGCATACTCAATTAAAATTTTTTTAAAAAATTCAAATTTTCTGAATTTTTTTTCCCCCAAAATTTAACGATGTAACCCCTTATAAAATTTCAAAAAATTTGGTAAATTTTATTTTTCTAGCGCAAATGCCCAGATCGATTCAGTTTATCATGCTGATCAAGAATATATATGATTTTTGGGATCGGAAATGACACTTTCACTGCGTTTTAAGTCTCAGACTAAAATTATAATACCCAGCAAGGGTATTAGTTTCATGATTTCGATTCCATTTTTGAAGAAACTTATCTAAAATTATTTTATTATAAATATACTATTATCATTTTTATCACAAGAATCGGCACACGTATTATTTCTACATGCTATAAATATCTTTGAATCATACCATCTGTATATTTTCTTTTATAAACTTTAAAGAAATTCTTGTCCCTTAATCGGACACCTATATAATATAGTTAAAGCCGTGTAAATATTATATGAACCTAAAACTTTTACAATCTTCTTAAAATGCTGCAAATTCTTTTTCTCGAATATCTCTAAGATCGCTCTGAACCAATGTAAAGATCTAAGATATAACTCCATGAACTTGTCGATTTCTATATTAATGAGCAGTCAACAGAATTCTTTAAGCAATTACTAATCCTTTTTCTTATTTCTTCAGACCCTTTCAGGCACCTTCCGTTTTCCTCCAAGTGCAATTCGTTCAAATATAGATATTGGCCAAAGGATCTCCTACTGTCGCCAGTGGTCAAACAGAGACATTGAGCATCCTTGCCAAAATGCTAATATCCTTATGTGGCATAAGTCCCAAATTAATGGTCTTTGAGCCAGCGTCGGCGCGACGGCCACTGCCCACTTTACGTGACAATTTGTGGTAGCTAAGCCGGGCCAGCTCAAAGGGCTTAAGCCGCAACTGCCGACTCATAAAAAGGATAAACGCTCAAGATGAGTCAGCAGGCCGGCCCACCGTTTGCGACGGGTGCTTCCGCGAAATGCGACACCGGAGGCAGGTCCACTCCACAAAAGGCACAAAGAACCAACAGAGGAAAAATATGAAGTGAAAGAAAAGAAACTGCACACAGAAGTGTTGCCGAATTAGTCGATTTTCGCATCTTTTTAACCCAAAAAAAATATATATCAGCTTGTTTCCAAGTCAGCTGTTGAGGGCAAGCAGAAGGCACATTACAAGATGTGTCATCTGTCGCACAATAGGAAATATAAATCCTTTCGTTTTATTACAACGACGTAAAAAACTCCAAAATATGAGAGAGAGAGAAAAAGGAGTGCCGAAGGACTTCCGGCATGGAAATAATATTCAGCGGCTGCCTGGCACGAGCGGGGATAACAAACCCTTTTTGGCACGGGTTATGAGCCTGGAGGATGAGGTTGGGACTCACCTTGAGAGGTGATCCCTTGGCTCTTGTAAGATGATCGCCATGGCCTTGGGTACTGGCCTAGGTAAGGCTTCAAGGATAAGGACTTTCAAAAACGTACAACAACAACTCCTTAACCATTAATTTGGCCTTTAAGTAAAACACAAACCAAGATACAAACTAACCATAAATATTTAAATACGGAAAACAGCCAAAGGCGTCCATTAACCTTATGTTATCCAAGTCTTTCAGCGGTTCCGTTAAGCAAAGTTGATTTACCTGGCGTGGGATCCCCACGGAAATTTACCTTTTTACTGAGTGCCGCTGCCCCGGATGCACATCATCCTCGCTGCATTTTGGCGCTTCCGCTTTTGGGTTTTCACTTTCCAAACAGTTTTTCCCTATTTTTTTATTAACGAATTCGTTATGCATCGTTTGAGTTTTTCGTTTTCGTTTTCCTTTCCGTTTTGCACCTTTTGTTTTACTTTTTCTTTTCAAAGTGCCACGTGCCACATCCAACATTTGTTGGCACAACTGTCAGTCAGTCAGTGAGTTTTCCCCCTCGATCCACGATCCATCTCTCATCAGTCACTTTCCCTGCCGCATTTGCCTTGTAATTCGATCGATTTTGGGAGCCAGGACGGCTGTTTTACTTATGCAATGTTTGCCGAGGGCCCAAACCCCAAGGAAAACCTTCAAATGGTCTTGGAAAATTTATTTTTAAAAATTTGGGTCAATGTTCCCCCCAAGTTGTTTATTTCGGTTTTTTTTCTTTTGCACATTTAACAGTATTTTTCCGCTGACTTTTCTTTGCTCTTGGACTTGCCCATGCAATGCTGCAGTTTTTGCTTTATTTGTATTTATTTTCTTTTTTCATAATTTGCAATTGCAATGTCAGAAACTTGTTATTGTTTCTGCCACTGGCGTTGTTGTGTTGCAGCCGCGTTGACAGTTTGAGCATTCGTGATTTTTGGCTTTAACTGGCTTTGCCTGTTGGCCTATGATAAATGGTAGTAACTGGCCAATCCACTTAAGTGGCTCCTATCGCTTGACACTTTTAATTAGCTGAGAAAGAGAGTGGCCAAATCAAACTGTAGGCAATGAGTTTAGTTGACCCGGATTTATGCTGGTTTCTTCAATTTGCAGATACATTTTCTGATATTCAAGGTATCTGTAATCTATCCATCTAAGTATCACCTTCGATCATTCGAGAATCCTGGCCTGGGGCAATGACTCTCCAAGATCGTTGTGATCCACGTGCTCGTTGGCGATACTGTCGATACTCCAGTATAAATTACTTAGTGAACTTTTACTCCAGATTTGGTCAACGAATTAAATCAAGTAAACGTGACTGTGATGGAACTTTTCCTCGATTTCCACACACAGCCACCGAAATGCCACCCCCAACGAGTGCGCCGCAGGTCCCAGTACCCCGCGCCATTTCGTTTGTTAAATCTCTGAGGAAATTGAATATGCTAAATTGATTCGATTCGATTCGATCGGTTCATAACACAAACGCACTGACGCACAGTGACGACAAATGCAAATTTTCTTTGCTGTTTGCCACTCTTTGGCCAACGGCAGTTGCCGAAACTCAATGAAAGAACGCCACCAAGGGGCCAGGATATTAGGTAAGTCGAAGTGAGTCGAAAGGAAGGGGTCGTTCTCCGTTAATGACACCGATCTGGGATGAAGAGATCCGTAGTGGGTGGTGGATGCATAAGAATCTACATATGGTTGTGTGACAGTTGATCATTATCCAGTGGTCAAAGGGTCATTGGCCTGCAGATATGCGTATCTTGCAGATACTCCTTGGATGCCACACCGCTCCGCTTGCTGCTCGGTGGCACGTAAGCCATGTGTTCGTCAAAGCTTACGCAAAATTATTTATGAAGACACAGAGCACCCGGCAAGCGAGAATAATAACACATCATGCATAGCCGAAAGTCGAGATACTCTTTTAGATTATTATTAATCTATACTACCTATTAGAATCTTTTATTTAGGCAGTAACTTCCTGCAGCTTCATTGGTTTACTTTTAAATATCCCACACCAGCTGCATCCCTTGTTTACCTTTCCCAATATGCTTTTTCTACTCTTTCAAAGTGTAAAGGCAAGACCTGCCTTTGATTCTCAGCTATCAATCAAAGAAGCAGTCGCTATGGAAATCATCGAACAGAGTTCTGTAGAAATTCCGCATCGATTTGCATATGTGACAATTGTAATTGTAATTATCAGGCACTTGCAGTGAGTGAGATACTCGAATGTATCTTTGTATCTCTCTACCCTCTCGTGGCATCTGGAGAGTGCGTGCCTGTATCTTATGCATGCCAACTATGAACCTTGCACAGTCGCTCTTATTACAGCTTTGTTATTGATTTCATAATTTATCAGCAGTGCCTGTCAATGGCCATTAGATTAATGCACCAGAGTCGCCTGCGTAACAAAGGCACCGCATTCTACTGAATGGGCCAAAGTCGAAGGCGAGAAGGATGCGGCCAGTAGGAAAACACTAACAACAACAACAACGACAACAACAAAATGACAAATCAATCTGTTGGCAATCAAAATGTACTTCCCCTCACCATGACATAGCCGCGATTTTCACCCAATAAGGAAGCAAAGCAAAGCAGTCCATGCAACAACTGGCGGCAACGTCGAACAGAAACAACAACAAACGACCACCAGAAACTGCAGTC